TCCTTTCCACCACCATCACTCCTCTTACCACCTTCAAGACTTATCTGTCCACGCGCTTCAAACTTCGTGACCTTGGCCCATTAACTTATTACCTCGGCCTCCACTTAGACCGCGACCGCTCTTCTCGGACCCTCCTCATTCACCAGTCTAGATTTATTACTGCACTCCTCTGTACCTTCAATCTCAGCCATGCCAACCCCAGCCACACCCACATGGACTTTAAGCTCCTCCTTCCAACACGTTCTTTATTGCCACCCTCTGAACCCTTCCCATATCCCTCTTTGGTCGGCTCTCTCATGTACGCAATGGGTGCCACTCGCCTTGACATAGCCCATTCTATTGGACTCTTTTCACGTCACCTCCATTCTTGGTCGGATCCTCATTGGCTGGCTGCTAGACTTGTTCTCCGTTACCTCAACGGGACTTCTTCCCATGGGCTGCTTCTTGGTGGCAATCACGCCTCCCTCCAACTGGTCGGGTATTGTGATGCCTCATGGGCTTCCAAAAGTGAGGATCGTCGTTCCCTCACTGCATACTTGTTTTTTCTGGGACCTTCTTTGATTTTTTGGCAATCCAAGCGGCAATGTGTAGTTGCGACATCCTCTTGTGAAGCCGAATACTACGCGCTCGGTGCGGCAACCCACGAAGCCCTTTGGCTCCGTACTCTCCTCTGCTCTCTCGGCCTTCCCCCCACTGGTCCCACCCCGCTGCTCTGTGACAACACTAGCGCCATTGTCTTGGCAAAGGACGCTGGTGTTTTCCATGCCCGTGCCAAACACATCGACATCCGCCACCATTTCCTCCGTGATCATGTTGACAAAGGGCATATCTCGCTGCACTACAACCCTAGCCGTGATAACCTTGCTGATTTGGGGACCAAGCCTCTCCCTCGTGACACACTTCAGCGTAGGGATGAGCAATATGACGAACTCGTGTTCGGTTCGCCTCGAACACGTTCGAGGCGAACCGAACAGGATTTCTTTTTGGCCAAAATTGTTCGGGGCGAACGTGTTCGGTGTTCGCCCGAACACGTTCGCCGTTCGCCCGGCTCAGCTCGCCGAGGCGCGTCGAACACGAACGTGTTCGTGTTCGACACGTGCCTTCGACGAACACCAATGTGTTCGTCGACGAATAGGCCCGCGACCAATTTTTAGGTCGCGGGCCTTGGTGTTTGGGCTCAGATCTGGCCTTTCACAGTTAGAAAAAAGTGCAGATCTAGCATTTCGCCATTGCTTAAGTGCAGATCAATCATTTCGCCGTTGCTTAAGTGCGGATCGAGCATTTCGCCGTTGTTTAAGTGCGGATCGAGCATTTCGCCGTTGCTTAAGTGTGGATCGAGCATTTCACCGTTGCTTATGTGCGGATCTAGCATTTCGCCGTTGCTTAAGTGCGGATCAAGCATTTCGCCGTTGCTTAAGTGCAGATCTAGCATTTCGCCGTTGCTTAAGTGCGGATCTAGCATTTCGCCATTGCACGCTGGCACTAGATGGATGAAGCAGGGCGGGACTGGCTTGGGAGGTGGGGGGAGAGAATGTGCGACGATTTGAATTTTACTCTATATTGAATTTCCCCCTGGGCGAACACGAACATGTTCGCCACGAACATGTTCGTGTTCGCCTGTTGCAGCAATTCGTTCGCCTCCTAGGGCGAACGGCGAACACCTATTTTCACTCAAGTCGTTCGCCGAACCGAACACTGTTCGGTTCGGCAGAAGGCCATGTTCGTCAGGGGGCGAACACGAACATGTTCGAGTTCGCCCCCTGCTCATGCCTACTTCAGCGTCTACAGTCCTGCATCAACCTTCACCCTGCTACTTCTTCTTTGACCTCTCCCTCGGTGTCAACCTAAGGAGGGGTGTTGTTAGGTACTTATTTTCCTTTAATTATGCTGAAGGTTAGTTCACTAGTTTGTTTTATGGTTTGTATGTATTTGCTTACATTATAATAGTGTAGACAATAGGGGTTGGGTTATATTAGTTATAGGGTGCCCCCTGAGTGACTTTATCAAGTGCTAGGCACCCCAAATTCGCCTTTGGGGCACCCCAGCACGTTTCCCATCCTTGGGGACGCGGCTCCAGCCTGAACCCACGAATTTCAACATTGGAAACGCGGCTCCAGCTTGGAATTCGCGTTTCCAATTCGTGGAATCGCGGTTCCACTAGAGGGGGCGCTTCAAGGCCCACTTTGAGGGCCCTTCACGTTCCCATCTTGACTGTGGGAACTTGAGCACCCATTTGGCCATCCCAAGTCCCTTGGGTACCAAATTTCTCAACTGGACGAGCCGAAGTCGCCTCCAAGCTAGCTCTCTTCACTTTCTGCCTATTTTAGCTTTTGTTTTGCTTGTATTCATCACTTCAGTTAACTTTTCTGTTTGTAGACCTTTTTTTCAACATCTCAAAACCAGCTTCTCCTTGTGCACATTGTGCACATAGGTCTGATTTTCTACAAACGTGTTAACCAATGCTAACGTGGCTAAAAAAACGTTAGAGCCAGGTCAGATTTCCCGGGACCACAGCCGGCCCAGGTTATGCTGCCCTCGACCTAGGGATGAGCAAAGGGCGAACACGAACATGTTCGTCTTCGCCCCTTGTCGAACACCCTCTTTTGCCGAACCGAACAGTGTTCGGTTCGGCGAACAGTTTAGGAAAAAACAGGTGTTCGCTGTTCGCCTGTGGAGGCGTGTTCGGGCGAACCTCGAACACTGTTCGTGTTCGTCGCGGGCAAATTTCAGCAGCGGCCCAAACACGAACGTGTTCGGGCGAACATCGAAGACTGTTCGGCGAACGATTTGAGCTAAAAAACAAAACCTGTTCGGTTCGTCTCGAACACGTTCGAGGCGAACCGAACAGATGTTCGCCACCTTGCTCATCCCTACCTCGACCCGTCACATTCAGCCGGGCCATGGATCGACAACCATGTTTGGCCGGCCTGGCCTGGGCTGGCTCAGTCTAGGCGCACCAGCATGGCTGGTCCGCCCTGGTCGGGCGTGGGGCGGCGTGTGCTCATCCCCAGTTCGAAAGCCCAATATTATAACCTCCTTTTAATGCCATCACAGAACCTATTTATTTATATTCGTAGGCTAAACCATGTGTTAGTGTTGCCTGATCTATCTATCATCCCCTTCCCTCCATCTCCTCCCATTTTCCTTGCATGGCTCACAGTGGAAGAAGTTAATGCAACAAAACACCAAACTAATGCTTCTTTCAGGTTTCTACCATCTCCATGCATGCAGGCATATGCAGACAAAATGTCTCAAACCACCTTGATGGATTCAATAATCTTTCTTTTTGTCTCCTTCAAATTTATAATGTTCCCCACCCATTCCATCCATCAGCTTCTTATATAACGAAGGCTTAACCGGATCTATTGCGGTCTCCATCAGTGCCTTGGACAGGCTCACCTATTTGTGAGTATGAGTTGTTGGAGCATGCACATATGAGTATGAGCAAGTAGAGATGGGCATGTGTAGAGATGAGCATGAGCAACGGCCTACATTGTGATGAGCCGCAGGGGTCACCATCATCTTATGGTGGCTAGCCAGTGGCCTTCTTGTCACGAGCCAAAGAATGGCCTTGCCTATCTACGTGGTGAACCTGTTACTTACTATTGAGATCTAGAAGCTCTGAAGCACACCTTGAATTCACACTTATCAGTTCCCACGGAGTTACCTTTAATGGTCCTCGGGTGCCTGGCAAGGCCAACCCCTATCCAAGGATCCGTGTTATATAGAGGGACACGCCAAGTATGAGACCAATCATGTGCAACAGAGCTAAGTGGGAATATACGCGTATAGCGTATATACGCGTGTCGTATATACGCTAGCGTATATACGCTATCCGCTTAGGGGTCCGGTTTGCAGATACGCTTTTTCGGGCAGAGGAAAAACTTTCCGGGCAGGTGAAAAAAGTACTCCCTCTTCTTATTAAGGCTTGCCCTAGCATAATCCTGAATCCGAATGACTAGTACAATGGGAGGTGGAGTAGACCTAATAGCTTGAAAGCGAAGTAGCGTGAACTCTGGTGAAAGCGGGAACGAAATGACGAGTTAGGGTTAGCCAAAAGGGTTGGCTGGTAAGTACCGTGAGATTTGTTGGGGGGTTAAATTTGACAGGTTGGTGTTTGTAGATAAAGTGGGGTTCAATGCGGTAGAAGGGATGGATTTCAATCCCTGTATGGATCTCAAATTCAAGATTTGCCAGACGACTTCGAAGTCAGATCCCCGTTTGCCTAGACCGCGGATTTGAATTTCAACTATGGCGAAATGCTCACCTAGGAATTCCGCATCTTTTTTGCGATTTTTTTTCGGGCAGCCCTAAAAATTTTCTGATAGCGTATAGCGTATTCGCTAGCGTATAGCGGATAGCGTATGTACGCTAGCGTACATACGCTATACGCTTAAGGTGTTAAGCGTATATTCCCACTAAGCAACAGAGCACTCCCAGACCCCTTGCGCAGCATTGAAGACGAATTACAGAAAGTTTTTTTTGGCTAAATTGTTAGGGCCGGACATGTTCGGTGTTCGGCCGAACATGTTCGACGTTCGGCTTTGGATTTCGCCTCTCCAAGCCGAACACGAACATGTTCGTGTTCGGCTGGGATTCGACGGGAACACCAAAAGTGTTCGCGTCAAAATTGGCCGCGACCAGATGTAGGTCGCGGCCAATTTTTGTTTGAGCTCATTTCGTGAGCTCAAACTCAGAAGTTGTTTAGGCTTTAGCGCTCCCTCACACAGCCGCCCTAGCCTCCTTGTTCTAGGTGCAAGCAAGTGCACGTTAATACTTGGAGTGTAAACGAACATTACATAGATAGATCTATGCATAGGGTTTAACGTAGTGTAGGGAGTTTAGGGTTACTATTAAGGTTCAGCGAGCATCTCCGCAAAGGGCTCAAGTAGGGCGTATCCTTCGCCGTAGGATTCGAATCGGGCATTAGGAACGTGCGGCACCATCCAACGCTAACGTTGCCTTAGGGGGTTTTAGGGTTTAGGGTCGAGGGCGGAGTGATGGCTTCCAGGGGTGGTGGATCCATAGGCCGAGGTGCAGGCAGGGCTCAGGGCAGCGCACCGGGATCTCCACCACGACATATGCAGGGGCGAGTAGGGGATGGACCGGGTGGAGCCGGCGCGATCTTCGTTGGGGGGTTGCTTACCGTACCGGCGCCGAGCTCTCGTCACTCTTTCCATTACGACGGCCCTCGGCCCCCTCCTTCGGGGAAGACGCCGACGCAGCCGGAGAGCGGCAGTGAGGAGGAGGATGAGGAGGAGGATGGTGAGGGCGAGAAGGAGGAGGACACTGAGGGGAGCGGGGATGACAGCGAGGCGGCGTGGGACCCAGAGACGCATGGCAGTGGGGAGGGGGGAGATGATGATGATGAAGACCACGAGATGGATGGGTTGGAGCCAGAGGGGCGGGAGGAGGAGGTGGGAGAGGGTGGTGGAAGGGCGGCGACAGAGGCGGGATCACAGCATGTGCGTGAAGGGGGAGGGAGCGTGGGGGTTAAGGTGGGGGGGGGAAAGGCCGTGACCATTAGGGAGCCGAGGCAGAGGAAGAAAGCGAACAAGTTGAGAGAGCGGGCGTATCCCTGCACGTTCACTGGGGAGCCCTTGGGCGAGGGTGTGATCGCTCCCGAGTTCCTAGACGAGGACGGAGGGTCCGAGAGTAGTAAGGGGACTGGCAAGGGTAATAGGAAGCCGGGGTGGCAAGTTATGATGTTCGGACCGTTAGGGGCAGACGATAAGCGTCAGTGCAAGATTTGCACAGACAGGATTTCGTGGAAGAAATCCACAACAACCCCGGGCGAGCGGCACTTTGCGAGCTTCCACACTGCGCACATGCATGTGTGGCATCACCGTTACCACACCCCGTCCGTTCACTTGCCAGGGGAGACGTTTCCCCGAGGGGGCTACAAGGGAGTGCCGGATGGCTACGTCTATCAGTGGCCACATGCCAAGACTTGGCCGCAGCTCGCCAAGGGGAAAGCGATGGCGACTGGTGGAGGTGATGGGTCAGGAGGGATCGAGCGGTGGATGACAACCAAACTGACCTCGGTGCAGCTACGGCAGGCGATCACGAAGCTGGTGGTCACCTGCGACCTGCCCTTCCGCATCGTCGAGGCCGAGGCTGTAAGTGCCCCATCCCATCCCATGCATGATTGGGCAAGTATGTGGTTAGTGGACGTGTCTGTCCCTTTGTGTTTTGACTGTTTGCGTGTGGCCCAGTGCAGTGCTATATTATTTTCATCCCATCCCCCTGACGTGTACTCCCCTCTCCCCCCTTGTCTCTTCCCCTCTCCAGTTTCGTGAGCTACTCATCCTGTTAAACCGCAACTGCGCGCAGAAAAACTTCATCCCCTCGCGCTGGACGGCTTCCCGCGACACAGTGGTCTATGCGGCTGCCGCTCTTCAGTCAGCCATCGCGGAGATGCTGGCGAAGGAGGGGGAGCTGGGGTGCAGGGTGTCGTTCACCATCGACATGTGGACGTCGCCCAACAACAGGGCGTGGCTAGTGGTAACGGGTCACTGGATCGACGAGAATTACCAGCTGCGCACAATGGTGTTTGAATTCCGCGAGATTCACGGGCGTCACACGGGCAAGCAGATGGCGAGGGTGGTTGAGGAGACGGTGGTGCAGTGGGGGTTGGAGACGCGTTGTCTTGGGTTCACCTCGGACAACGCCTCCAGCAACACTGCCGCTTTCAGGTGGATGTCGGAGGAGGGTGGTGGCCAGTGCTTCTTCAACTCGCGCATGCACTTCCGGTACGAAAGGGAGTGTGCGTGGGATGTGCGATGAGGGAGTCTCGGTGCGTCGTTCCTGTGATGTGAACATGTTGTGGTTGTAGTACAGGCGGGTGGGCCTATGCGGCTTGAGAGTGGTAGTGTATCTTGGATCTATGCCAATGTGCACTCACACTTCCCTTTCTCTCCGCCATGAATGTTTTGTGATGTGCGCAAATGCCTGGCACACGTGATCAACCTTGCAGTGAAGGCAGCACTCGCTGTGACCGCCATCCGCAAGTTGCTGAAGATTCTGAGAGAGATGGCGTCGTGGATAGGCTACTCGCCACAGCGCTCGGGGAAGTTCTTGGGCCTTCAGCGGACTCTGAACGCGCAGGGCAACCCCGCCAAACCGAAGCCAGCATTGAAGCTGGTGCAGGACAGTCCCACACGCTGGGGGTCGACCCACGACATGGTCGAGCGAGCCGGGGTTCTGCAGGAACCCATCTCTGTCTTCTTTGCCCAGACACAGGTGTGTGTGTGTGCCAGGTGTTGTGTATGCTGTTTTATGTGTTGGTATGTCGGTCGGGGTGTTTTCTCCTGGGACTTGCACCACTGTTGGCCATGCTTAACTAAACTTTTCGGACCTCCAACAACCTCAACCACCCCACTTTCCATCCTATCACCCGCCCACCCATACGTTCTACCCGACAGGGCGTGTCGAAGGCTGACAAGGCGAAGATGGACACCTTGCGCCTGACGGACGCAGACTGGGAGACTCTGCATTCTGTCAAGACCTTCCTCAGCCCATTCGCCAAAGTCTCCAAGGCCGCAGAGGGAGCGGCGTACCCTACAGTGTCGATGGTCCTGCCGTACTACAACGGCCTGATCGACGCTATGGAGTCGCGCCTTGCCAAGGGGCCATCGGCTATGCTGAAGCCGATGATTGAGGCGGCGCTGGGTCTCTTGAAGAAGTATGAATTGATGTCAAGCAACGAGTTGTGGATCGCCACCTTCCTGGACCCTTCCATGAAGGCGGCGTGGTTTGACGACGCGCACTGGGAGACGCTGCATCCCGATACAGAGCGAAGGGCGAGGCCTCGTCCCTCGTCAGGCGAGGTGATCCAGCTGGTTCGCGAACGCGTGGCCGAGTACCAGGCCCGGGCTGCAGCGATTGCCCCTCTGCCGACCCCACTTGCCCCAGTGATGGAGGAGGAGGGAGACGCGGCGGATGACGACGAAGACGCCGAGTTTCTCCCTAGTCGCCGAGTTTCTCCCTAGTCGCCGACGCCTTGCGGCGCGTCTGTCGGCGAGCCAGGAGGCGGGGAGGGGTGGGATGGTGCAGGATGACGAGGTTGGCAGGTACTTATCAGAGAGGGTGCGGTGCGACGTGTCTGCGTTGGAGTATTGGCGCAGCGCCACCAACATGCAGACGCTGAGGCGCATGGCCCGGGATTATCTTGCCATCCCTGCCACGTCCGCGTCGAGCGAGCGCGTGTTCTCCCTCGGCCGCAACCTCATATCCTGGAAGCGGCACCGCCTAGCCTCTCAGAGGACACGAGCTTCCATGAGTCTCAGATCATGGTACACCTCACACCTTGGACAGAGGATAGGCGAGGGCCGCCGTGCAAAAGGCGAGGCACCACCAGAGTTCGCCATTGAAGGCGAGGGGGAGGAGGAGGACGACGAGTGGGAGGAGGAGGAGGGGGAGGAGGAGCAGGTGGGGGTGGGTGCTGGCGACACCTCTGACGCGGAGCATGCTGTTGTTGGTAGTAGCAGTGGTGTGCAGGCGTAGGATGTAATTTGGCAGTGACTTTTATATAGGCACTACATGATGGTGTCGTATGCTAGTGTGCGTTGCATGATTATATATACACCCTCCACCCCCATATCTATCTTCCCAACCCTCCAGATTCCGTGTTTCTCTATTGTGACTATAATGAAAGTGACCACGGGCGAACTCGAACATGTTCGGTTCGAACATGTTCGAGTTCGCCCACACATACCAAATGTTCGCCCCCAAGGGCGAACGGCGAACAGCTCCTGAACCCTAAGTTGTTCGCCGAATCGAACTGTGTTCGGTTCGGGAAAAGTTGATGTTCGAGCGAACTCGAACCCAAACGTGTTCGAGTTCGCCATTTGCTCATCTCTGCATGGACTTGCGAGGCGCAGGGTGGGACAAATTCAAGGGCGAGCCCTGGGCAATCCGAAGGGCCATTCCTGAAGCCTAGTGGGCGGAGCCCAAAGTGACTTACGCGAAACTGCACGACACGGGGTAGAGACTCAAATAGGCTAGAACTCACTGCTTAGTTCGTTCTCTTGTTTGTTTGCCTAATATAGTGGATGTACGTTGCCGATCGACGCTACTACAGCTAGGTGACCAAGCCACTGGGGGCAGCCATCTTGTGGGAGGGAGGATCTCTCACAAACAAGAGAACGAAGATCGGGCAGAATGGACTGCCACGAGCTGCGCTCGCAGCAGATGAACTTGTGTCAGGAATTTCCGCCGTCGCGGAGGTTGCGCTCACTGTAGCGCGGGAGATTGCGGACGCGTTCGCCACGGAGGGCGGCGCACCGCATGGATCTGGTGTTTGGCGGACATCGAGAAGGAGGCGAGGACGATTTGCACGCGGGATCGGAGTCCAGGCCTCAACCGTCCAGCAGCAGCCCTTGGTTTCTGGCGCGCAGCCAGCAAGGAGAGGGTGGCAGGCGTCGCGACGACGCGGATATGGTGGACTCGTCGGATTCGGCAAGCAAGGTCGATGGAGAGGAGGAAGCAGACGAGATCCTGATGGCGCGGGATGGTGAGAAGGACGACGTCGCGGAAGAAGAGTGCGGCGAAGGGAGCAAAGACGCAGGCAAAGATGGCTCGCCGGTAGGGATGTGCGGAGGCTGCGCGAAACAGCGCGAGAGCGCGGATATAGGTTGCTCGGCGGACGAATTGTGTGAGGGCAGCGCGAGGCACCAGCGGAACCATGCGGATCCAGATCGCGCGCCAGGGGAACACCGTTATGATGAACGTTCACAATTACAAAATGGTTTCTCACCGTATTTCATGAAGCCTTACAGTTACTTCACGGGTTTTCACCGCTTTTCCCTATGTATAAATTGTCTCTTTACGTGCACTGCTTTCCCGCGAAATTTACGTGTTGCCTCGCCTAGTAAATGACGTGGCTCGAGATTCAGTTACGAAATTGCAATCTTGAGTCAAACCCGAGCACCCCTCGGGATCTCTTGACACCCCCAAAACACACGCGCACCCCTCAGGTGTGCAATCTGCAAGATCGATATTTTCGGTCGTGCTCAATAGTGCACAGACATGCCCTATTTGTTGCGATCATTGGCCTTGTGCCCTCGCGTAACAATAATGTGCCACACCCTCGCATTAACTACGAGACACACGCTCGAGCCCCTAAGTGGCAAAATACGCTTTTGCCTTTAAGCGTTTAGCGTTTATCCGCTTGCGTATACACGCAAAACGCTATACGCTAACGAATACGCAATACGCTCGGGGGTTTTTTTCAGGGCAGCCCAAAATCGAAAAAAAAATTGTATATCTGAAAAGTTTCGTCTTCTCACGGCGAAGAAGATGCCGTGCTCGAAATGCACGTCCGAGATCTACCCTGGCCTGGACGTGGCTTCAATGTATGGAGGTGAGTTGGTTTCCGTGCTTTCAATTCGCGGCCCCGCGACTGTGAGTTGGGTTATGTGGCTCCAATGTTTGGAGTCGCGATGTCCTTGACACTCCACATTGGAGTTCCACCAATTTGTACCGCTCTCGACCTACAAACTCCCTCCAATTCAACTTCTCCCCACCACTCCATCCCACGCTACTTCACAATCAGGTATTGTTCTCTCTCGTCAATGCATCCTCCCATGTACCTTCACAGACCTTTTTAGAATGTCTTCTGCAGATGTTAGCCCGACCCTGTCCACTCCCCCTCCTAATACCGGCACGGACAGTCCTGTTCAGTCGGCGCGAGTTTACCTTCCCGATGTCGACCACGAGGTGTTCAAGCATTTCCGCCGCATAAAGGTGGACGAGGGGAAATCGCAGCAATACGAGTGCAGGTACTGCTGCAATGTCTTTTCTGGCGCCGCCACCCGCTGCGCGCAGCACTTGGCGAGTTGGAGGAAGATGAGGCGCCGCGAAGTGGCGCTATGCAAGGAAGCCCCCTCTGAAGTACGGGCTGCCATCCGGAAGAAGTATGAGGCTAAGGCTGCAGCGGCAGATCAGCGCCGCCAGGCGACATCGGATGCCATTGCGTCGGTCACCAGCGGCGGAAAGAGGAGCCGCATTACTGACTACTTGGAGACGGATGCGGCAGCTGCGAAGCGCGATGCACACGAGGCGTTGGCGCTGATGTTCGCGGCGTGTCGAATCTCGGAGCGCGTGGCGGAGCACCCTCTCTTCATCAACGCCGTTTGTGCCATTAGGGACTCCGGCACAGGATACGCCCCCTCGACGAGGACGTTCATCGGCGGGGCGGGCTTGCGACTCTGTTGCGAGAACATCGACAGAGGGCTTTCTGGAGTGAAGGCGAGCTGGAAGCGGACCGGCGTGACAATTTCTTCTAATATGATGACTGATAAGAACGGTCACCCCCAGGCGAACGTGTTTCTCGTCAACGAGAGCGGTGCGGTGTTCAAGGACAGCGTGGACTGTCGCATGGAGACCAAAACCGGCGGTTATGTCGCCAGCATCCTCAGGCCCGTGGTGGAGGAGGTCGGTCCAGATAACGTGGTGGCATTCTGCACGGACGGTGGGTCCAACTACGCGGTGGCGTGCAACGAGCTGATCGCGGAATGGCCGCACATTCAACACGTGCCATGCGCCACCCACGTGTTGGACCTCTTCATGGAGGACGTCGGCAAGATGACGTGGGCCAAGAAGGTGGTGGACACTGCGGGCGAGATCAGCTCCTTCGTCCGCAACCACCACTAGACAAGGGGATACTTGAGGACCCCCGCACTGGTGGGTGCAAAGATGCTGCAAGCGCTGAAACCGGCTGGAACCAGATTCGGGACACAGTACATTGTTGTGTCCCGTCTCTGTGAGCTGCGGCAGTCGCTTGCACAGATGGTGGTGTCTGATGTGTGGAAGGGTTGGGCAGTTGGGGATAGGAAGAAGTCTGCGGATAAGTTTGCGTCACAAGTTCTTGATGACGCGTGGTGGCGGACGGCGGAGTTTTTCTCCAAGCTGATGAAGCTCCCGTTCATGGCAATGCGTAAGACCGATGGGGATGCCAAGGGGATGATGGGCCGGATGTATGACGTGATGCTGCAGTTGACCGAGGATGTGGGGACAGTGGTGGAGGAGGATGAGGAGCAGCTGAGCTACTCCGACAAAGTGAACATCCGCCGCCTGCTGAAGAACAGGTGGGACGACAGCCTGGCCTGCCCCATGCACGTTGCGGGCAGAATTCTCAACCCGGCGAACCAGGATGAAGACATCTTCGGCTCAGACGCGGAGTGCACTAGGGTAACGTACATCACTCAACACGCCGAGCACCTCTGCAATTACGGGAAGGAGGGGGATGATGGGGATGACATTGGCGAGGTTTTGATGGAACTGCAGGACGGGGTGAGGGCATTTCTAGATATGAAGGGAAGCTTCGAGATGGGGGATGCAATTGCTCAGAGGAACTTGGTCAAGCAAGGCAAGTATGACATGGTAAAGTGGTGGCAGTGGCACGGCACTGACGCACCAAAGCTGGCGGCCCTAGCCATCAGGACTCTCTCTCAGCCCGTGTCGGCTTCACCATGTGAGAGGGGATGGTCAACGTGGGATGGGGTGCACACGGCCCGCCGGAACCGGCTTGGCTCTGCCAAGTGCCGGGATTTGGTTTTTGTTGCGCACAACTGGAGCGTTGTGCGCAACTGGCATTCCCGTGCATATGTCATGCCGGGTGTGGTGCTCGGGAACATCCCGGAGCCTCCCGTGCCCGAGGGCTACAATGTGATGGAGGGGGACGAGGAGGAGGAGGAGGAGGGGGAAGATGACATTTTGGAGGATGAGTATGCGTAGGTGGGTTAATTGATCTGGACTAGCGTGAGATGTGTAGTAGTAGTAGTAGTATGGGATGGGATGAGTAGTTGTCATTGTGATGTTGGTGAAAAAAAAAAAATTGGGAAAAGAAACCGGGAAATCCTACCCCCATGGAAACTTACCCCAGTAGTATTGCAGGGGGGGTCTTATTTTAGCTGCCCGATGTTTTTTTAACCTACCTGAAATAGCGTATCTAGGGTCTCAGGACCTTTGCGTATAGCGTATAAACGCGTGCGTATATACGACACACGTATATACGCAATACGCGTATTTTGCCACTTAGTCGGGCCCTAAGGGCCCACGCGCGAAATCAAGACCACACGCGTGGTCAAGACTGTGAGTCTTAAAACGTACTAAAGTAGCTACTAACGACCTTTAGGTGCATTAGAACTCTCTCCTTGGGGTCACCTCCGAGGGTCCTTGGGTGCCTGACCGAGGTCAGCATCTATCCAAGGGTCGAAATATGTAGAGAGAGAGGCGTAGCAACAGCCAAAGTGTAGCATCAATCGTCCATTCGTTGTCAAGAGAATAAATTATGGTAGCGTACTTGCAGCATGCACAGAAGAAATCCTTTACTGAAGTTATATTTGAACAAAGCAAGTACAACCGGTTGATACTGAACCTATTGCAATCTATTCTAGCATTTTTTGTTTCTACTGTTTGTGACTTCCTTCGTCGTAGCGCGCACATTTTTCAAAACTCCCGCCACTTCATTTTGAGGTCTGGTGGGTTTGCGTCTCTTCGCCAAAAGATTTCGAACTTCCGGCGCGAGCAGCTCCAACGGTGGCAATTCGTAAAATATGCTTGGCGCCCTTTTTTGACCGGGCCACATTGATTCCGATCTATATGAGCGAAGTCAGCTTGTTCAGAACCTATTACAAAACCTCTTAGTAACCCGTTCGAAACCTATTCGTAACCTGTTCAGAACCTATTCGTAGTCTAACCTGTTCGTAACCTGTTCGCGATGCATGTTCAGAACGTTGATAACCTAACTCAAAACGAACACTTCGATGGACTCGCCACCAGCGGTAAATAACGTGTCACGAGCGGGTAACACTCGCATTACTCCCACGTGGCGCAAAGAGCTGCTCGTAAACTGACGAAATGAACACGCTCTGCGAGTAGCGACCAATTAGAGTACCTCGAAACTGGTAGCGCGAGAAGTTGCTCGCTCGACCGTAACCCGAACTTCCGTTTGAACTGCAGCCAATCAAAGCTGCTGAAAATCATCACAGCTCGAACAGTTTGCTCGCTCAAATCACTTGAGCAACTGCCAAGAGCGTCCCTCAGTAAATCGTGGCACGAGCAACTGCTACCTCATTATCAGCTCAACACTCCAAGTCAACTTTTTTTCTCGCCCCCAAAGTCAGCCTTTCAAGACCTCTCACTAATAAAAAACTCGCTTTTCTGCTGCAGCTGCTGAATGCAAACCTTCCCAGATAAAGTCGGCTGATTGAAATACAGAAAAGGATTTGTGTAATCTACAAAGATTCATGTGCGCTAGACCATTGACCAAGGCGAAAATGTCCAAGGGTCAATGTTGACCCTTCGTGAACACCCACGACATTTCACGATCACACACGGAAAATGAGAAATAGAAACTAACTTGAGCACTCACAAACATTCATGAACAGCGCACATACTTCACGGAGTTTCACGAATGCAAAAAATTCACGAACATAAAATCAATGCACTCATGACAACTCACGAAGCATCGTAAAAGCACACGAAGTCTCGCAATCACACACAGACATTCACAAACACTGAGGAACACAAATTTTCACAAAATGCACAGAACTCATGAACCGTAGAGGCAATTTACGAGTCGTAAACACGGAAACCTGAGGCACAAAATTGCGCAACTCACATATAATAAATTACTTGAAAACGAAATACCACACACTCAATGTCGACGAATAGGTGGTAGGTTGTCGTGCAAACCATGTGTTGCACCCAACGACACCTACCTACGAGGGGTTGTAGGAAAATTTCCGTATAAACGGTCCGAAGTAAAAACAATCTTCATGAATTCCTCCTAAAGTGGTCGAACCTAATGTAGCAAACAACAAAGAATGAGTTTGACAACCAACAACCTTATCTTATTGTTGTGCGCATGGACCGACACTCTCAAAAGGTTGCAAGGTTGTTAGTTGAGTTGAGTATTGATTGTCTTAATGTTAACAGTTCGCTATCTCAGGACAATGTTTTGAGCACATTTGTATTTGCGTACCTCGTTCCTCAATTAAATGTAATGTTCCTCTTCTACAAATGCTTATTAGAGTAGATGTGTGAGCGATTATAATTACTTGTTCAACTTTCATGTTTTTTTGAAACTCTTCCACTTCTCTCTCACCCCAACTACTTACTCTATCCTTCCTTTCCCTTGGATGGAACCCGTTGCGTATATGTATCATCAGGGATCTATCACATAATGGATTGACTGGGTCCATTTCAACTATCATCGGCATGAGCAGACTAAATTTCTTGTAAGTATCAATTAAATTTTATTGAAACTTCACCTTTAGCTTGGATGACTCTGATTCATACCTTCAATGACTACTAAACTCTCGTTATTTGTTTGATTTTAGCATGAGCAAGTGTTGACTACTATCGAGACTAGAAATCTCCAAGCACACCTTTAATCACCACCCAGTTACCCCCACGTTAGGGCTAAGCACGAGATGAACATGAACGTGTTCGCGTTCTCCTTCGCTCGAACAGGGCCGTTCGGCGAACCGAACGCTATTCGGTTCGCCGAACAGGTTTCGCCCAAAATGGTGTTCGAAGTTCGCCTGTGAAGGCGAACATTTCGAACACAATTGCGAACACGAACATGTTCGCTAGAAATACGTTCGTTCGTGTTCGCGAGGAACACGTTCGTTCGTGTTCGCCAGGAACACGTTCGTTTGTGTTCGCCAGGAACACGTTCGCGTTCGCCCGGAACACGTTCGTGTTCGCCCCAGAGGGCTTAGGATTACAAAACACATGATTACAACACTGCCAATGCATCCATGTGGAAGGGTTTTCAGTTTGGTAGTGATTTGCCTTCCCATCATGGTGTTTATGATAACTTTGATAAGCATAAATAACGTGCGGCCTAAAACATGTCTATGATCCAAGGTCTACATGACATTCAACATGGAAACGTCACCAAAGGCCCCTTGATTGCCCACCAACAAAACCATAACTACATCCCTGTCCCAACCCCGCTACCAACACCACCATCCTCACCACCCGTTGCTGCAACCGCACCTCTCCCCTCTGCCGCCTCCTCCACCTCCTCCGCTGCCTCCTCCTCCTCCTCCTCCTCCTCCTCCTCCTCCTCCTCCTCCTCCTCCTCCTCCTCCTCCTCCGCCTCCTCCTCCTCCTCCTCCTCCTCCTCCTCCGCCTCCTCCTCCTCCTCCTCCTCCTCCTCCTCCTCCTCCTCCTCCTCCTCCTCCTCCTCCTCCTCTGCACCCTCGCCTTCAATAGCGATCTCCAGACTCCAGTGCTGCGACCCCTCTCGTGCGGTTGCCCTCGCCCATCCTCTGGCCAAGGTGCGATCCATACAACGATCTGAGAATCATGCGGGATTGCGCCCTCTCGGAGTTGTAGGCGGTGACACTTCCATGAAATGAGGTTGCGGCCCAAGAAGAACACGCGCTTGCTCGCAGAAGACGTGGCAAGGATGGCGAGATAATCCCTCGCCATCCGCTTCAGCGTCTCCATCTTCGTGGAGGTGCGCCAGTACTCTAGTGCTAACACATCGTACCGCACCCTCTCGGAAGTACCTGCTGACCTCATCATCGTGCACGAGACCACCCCCCTTTCACAGATGCAACCCAACACACAAACTCACATACCTCATGAATTGTTGAGGCAATACATGAACCATAAATGTCCAAACTCAAAGCACAGAATTGTGCATCTCACACACAACAAATTACCTTCAAACAAAGCACTCCACTTTCCTTCAATGTCGGCGAATAGGCGGTAGGTCGTCGTGCAAACCATGTATTGCACTTGACAGCAAGGAGAGTCGGGCCATCACGCCGACACTCTCTCTTAGAAAACGGGATCTAGAAAGATTACGGGGCGGACATAACTCAAAATCTTCAACTAAGTTTCTTGACAAAAACGTCGATGTCACAAGAAACGCAGTCGACGATAAAATAGCTGTTCGAACTTCACAAACACCTAAGTACATTGTGGCTCTTAAACATGTCTTTCATTCCCATTTTGAAAAATGTGAAGTAAAATTGAAGATATGAATTTCGGTGCACAGGGGGAAATGCTGTAGCTAAGACTTAACTAAATCACAATAGTTCAACCAAGAACCACAAAAGCAATTGAAGTAGTAAGAAACTAGGTGGAAAAAAAAAAAGACGTCAGGAAAGGTCCATAATCATACAAACACCCTTTCAATAGGAACATAACTTTGATGTCTGTTATTTTTCCAACCTATGCAATTTACTTCACCCATATTGACTATATTTGCCAACATGGTTTGGCTTCTCCCAACCACTTGGCAGTAGGGATGAGCACATGGACGAACCCCTGTTTGGATCGCCTCGTGTTCGTTGACGAATTGGCCGTGACCATATTTAGGGTCGCGACCAATTCTGTTTGGGCTCATTTCTTTGAGCTCAAGCTAGTTGCGTCAGGTCGCCATCACCAATCCGCCCCCCTACCCAGCCTCACCTAGCACTAGCCTTAGTTCAACAATGCTTCACCAAATCGGTGTCTACCGGCCGACGCGTACTAGTAGATTGGGGTTACTATGACGAACGGCCAGGTTTAAGTAGAGTGCTAGCGTTTAGGGTTTCGGACGTTGAATGCGTAGAAAGTGCAACAATTTCCTGCCCGTGCCATAAGCCACACAGTTACTCAGAATAACGGCAGTTGCGCGTCACCCTAGTACCATTCACGGTGCCTTGCTGGTGCGTTTGCATTCTATCTAGGATGTGGTTTCGGTGGTGTGCGTTCGTTGGGGCACCTTTGTTGCCTTTGACCTTTTAGAGACACCATAGAGATAGAATTTGTTAACCCGTTATTATAACTCGTTGTAGTTAGTATAAACGCATAACACGTACACAAAATCACTGCCAAGCCATCTACCAATCTTCAGACCCTTTGTATCCATGCGTGACTATAATGAAATGCTCCCTTGGGCGAACACGAACATGTTTGCCGCGAACACATTTGTGTTCGCCTTAATGTTCGAGATGTTCACCCTCAGAGACGAACCTCGAACACCCTTTTTGGTAAAAGGTGTTCGGTTCGTCGAACGGCCGTGTTTGAGCTGAGGGCCATCCACTGAGATGGGGAGGATTTCTAGCTCCGCTAACCAGGTACACTTTGCTTACATGGCTGAACCACGCTGCTCTTCGGAACTCAGAGCTGGGGAGCGAGATGGTACACTGCGATGACCAACACTGGCAGAGCAAGTGCGAGAAAGATCTCTCCCGACTGCCGTGAAATGTCACCAGCCATCCTCCCTCTCACAGTGGTGACCTCCACTTCAGCACTGGGGTCTGCCACCTATCTCTAAACATTCGCCTCACGACAAGGTTGTGCAATGTTCAATTGTCAAGATGCATGGGTAAGGAAGATTCTAAAAATTTCATACATGGAGAGGAGAATGAAATCAAAACCTTTGACACAAAGCTTGTCGTAAAGAGCAAAGAACACTCATGCTGAACCATTCCTAAGCTGGCCCTCAAAATTGGTCAATTTCAAAGGTGATGTCATATTTTCCTCTGAAGAATATATTTCCACCAACACAACTATGTTCTCAAATTTAATCGGCTCAAAAAGCCCTCACATGCCGACTGAGCATGAACACTTATCCAAGCAAACTCAAATTCAAAATTTACTCATATTTCTTCCAAAACTAGGAAATGCTAGTACAAGATGATTGACAACGATGCACAATGACCTCGATTGGATATGGTCACAATGACCTCGATCTACTTTGTCCGTCGGTTTCAAACCCAACCAGCGCGACAAATGTCACGCTGATGTTCGCGGAATTGGGAGAATCGCCTGAACATGTACGATGTTTGGGCATTTCTCCCATGCGCGCCGCGAATGTCCGAACATGTTCGGGCGAACATTTAGGCAAAACAAAAACCGTATGTTCGGTTCGCTCCCGAACATGTTCGGGCAAATTGAACATACTTTCGCCCCCGTGCTCATGTCTATGTGTGAGCTATTGTGATTACTTGTTCAACTCTCATGGCCTTTTCAAGCCCCTCCAATTCTCTCTCCCCCCCAACCACTTACTCTACCCCTCTCTTTTTTTGGATGTAACCCGTGGCGTGTATGTACCATCAGGGATCTATCACATAACGAATTGACTGGGTCCATTCCATCCACCATCGGCAATATGATCAGCCTTACATATCTGTCAGTATCAAGGCAATTTTTATTGAGCTTTCACCTTCAAGTTGGACGGCTTTGAGTAATTCATTCAATTACTGCTTACAGCTTGTATGTGGTTCGATTTGGGCATGAGTGTGGAGGAGCCGGGCCAGCCCGCTAGGGCCATCGAGGACGATTAAAGTGGTATTGGGTTGGTTTCACAACAAGACTAAGGGAGGTCCATCCCATGGTGACAGACAGGGGCTTCCCACTAATCCATGCGAAATTGGGATTTTCCAATCAGATCCGCGACAATGAGCATCATGTCTGCCAAATCAGTGCGTACATGGCTTCAAACATGCCACTCTTGGGCCGTGGCATGGTAGACACAGTACATGCCCTTGTTGCAGCAAGCCGACGAAAGTCCAATGCTTGAATTGCTACTCGATGGGTAAAAAGGTTGGCCTTCTTCTGGTCCTATACCCCTTTCTAATGCACCTTGCTGGCCCTTGCATGACCCTATTTGTATGTCTCATTCCCGCACAATCATGGTCATAATGCGGTTCTCAAACCGTATTTGTGCTACTGTTGGTAAGAAGCATGTGAGAACTGCTTTTGTTTTCATAATTAGCGAGGGCTAGAGCTGTAACTAGGCTGGTCTGGTTTATGCGTCTATGGTCAGACATGACCGGTAGGGGATTGGGAGGGTTTGGGATGGGCATTATTCTTGCTTTGATAGCCGTGGCCCATCTGTTTGAGTTGGGCCAATCTTAATCTGCCACTATCGTAAGAAGCCTCATGACGAAGGGTCCAAGCCTGTCACAACTAGCATTTGACACCATCTGAAATTTCCTCAGGGAGGCATGAAATACTCTTTAAGATTCAAATCGGGTACGAACATAGGACCAAGATAAGCCGGTGTATTTCAAGTTGCCATGAGCCAGGGGGCTGACGAGCCAGTTGGGCAACTGATCCTGATCAGGCTCGTGGCTTGTATCATAGGCTCCCCCATCGTAGGCACGCTAGTCAAGCCGAGACAAGCAGGTATGGCTTACCACCTTCTGCCAGACCCAATGAGCCACACTAGTTCAATGAGCCAACAAGATGGGTCTTGGCTCGTCGAGACCCCCTTGATTCCAGCCATTTGATACTCAGATCGCCGGCTTGTCTTAACTCGATTGTCATGTTGGACCTGTGGTCTAACAAAAGGTGGAAATACAAGAATGACCTCCAACTATGTCAACCAAGGGTCATATGTGTCCCACAGGACTCAAGAGTCATGATTCTCTGCCTGACATCAACAGGATTTGTCAGGACATGGGAACCAGCCCAAGTGTGCTAGCGCATGGGATATGTTAGCATGATTCTCTTGCGGGATCATATGTGCTGGGCATGCTCGGTTGTTGAGTGACCTTGTTCGGCATTGATGGGGTTTGTCATGGGCTACGGGTTTGAAGCAGCCTGGTTTGACAGGCATGCTCAGTGTGCACCAGACCGGTTCAAACAGTCTGTTACAAGTGCGGGCTGGCCTATGAAAATCAGGGCACTATTTGACCTTTGATGAACCAGTTTGACATAAGTTGCAAGAGAAGCTGCCCTTGGTCATGTCATGTGTACTGAAAGGCATTGGACTGCAAGCATGAGCATGCCCTCTTTGACGCGTCAATGTGCTCTTAAGTTGGACTTGGATTTCTCTCTTTCGGAGTCCCATGAAGTTCTCAAATCCCCTGATGTTCTCCGCGGGGACATCGTGCGAGGATGTCCTCACGCGGTGTGTGAGGGGAAGATAAGCACACAAGGTGGTTTGTGGCATATGCACCTTATAGGAACCTCAGCAGCAAGCTCCATCACCTGACCCATGTGTGTGCTCCATAAGCATGTGGCAACTCAAGAGGAAGCTGCCTGACCATCTGCTCCACAAGTATGCCTTTCACTGCAGCTTCGGTCTGCTTGCCTGCAATCACTTTCGACAGCAGCAATCGTAGTTGAGTAATAAGATGAAATGTTGACTGCAATATGTACATCCCAGAAAGGACGGGTGCATCTGGGACCAAGGCAAGATGCAGGAAGCAGTGGGCTGATGGGTGTGAGGAGCTGTGGCAGGAAGAATTGAAGCCCATTGCCGCGCTTTGGAACTTATGATGGTCCCACACGAAGCTGTGCATTAGAAGGGAGTACCTGCACGAGTACAAATTAGACTCGAGGTGAATTGGGGCTGGAAGGTGCTCCTGAAGTGGTGGGGAGAGTCCGGCACCATTCTTCCTCGGCGGCACCAATGTTCGCATCACCAGGGGAATCTTCTCCAAGGCTGGCTCTGCTGCAGTGGCAGTCAATTCCGCAAAATTTACAACTGTAGCAATGGCCGGCAGGTGTGGGGTCGGTCCTGATTGGCAGAACTACGCCCCGCATGCTGCCAACACATTTTTTCTCATCACTGTGATGACAGCCGAGCAGAGGAGGACTGCCATTGACACTGGGAGGACTTGGTCCTTTAACCGGCACACT